TTAAATAGGTTTTGAAGTTTGATATTTATTGATTCACACAGATTCAGTTTTTACGCACTGTATTTCACCACCATGTACAGCCATATGAACACACGGAATACACTCGGATAATTAACACGTGGTCGACGCCAAAGACAAAGGAACGTCGTTAGAAGTCGTACCAAATTAGCATGTAGAAACTAGTGATCATACCAACCTTATATTTTCCTGAACAATGCAAACATGAAACCTAACCTGTCAAACGTTGTGATCTTTATTTTGATAGAACAAAATGGATCGTACGTAATTCGATAAGATAATATAAAACAGAAAATGTTGTGAAACTTTTCAGACGACCTAGTATAATATATGTCTATAAAGGATCAAAAAGTACAAAAATTAGAAAAGATATAGTAATGTTTTACAATAATAATATATTGTCCCTTTTTAACATTAATGACAGACGATGTGTTGTTCCTTTTTAAACGTAAGAAATACTTTGAAAACGTAATTAACATTATAATACTTAATTCATTGAATTACAATGAATAATATTAAAAACTTTCAATTGCTGTTAGATCATACTTTAATGTTAATTGTCCTTTTATAAAAGATAATTGGAAAATGTTTAACGAAGCATGAAGTGATAAAATTTATCGAACAATTTAATCTTTCCCAAAAATTATAAAATTCAACCTACCGTTGCAACTGAGTTACCAATAATCTATCGCAATAATCGATACGGTGAATAAAACACAAAGTCCATAAACTGTATTACATTAGTTTTAAAATTTGTTAAAATTATACAGTGTGCGAATACTCGTATTTAAATACGTTGGATGATGAATTATGTAAAATATTTCAGTAAACCAACTGAGATCGAAAGTATGTCTCTTGGATGGACGATGAAGCGCAGGAGAAAGACGTGAAAATGACTGAGAAATATTGCAGAGTAGTGGGACGAAACAATCGATGAGATTTGCAGGCACCGAAAAAGACATTTGGCAAAGTTGCCGGGTTTCAAGTGCTTTCGCCCGAGATGAGAGTGCTTTTCGAATCCGACCGTAAAATCTATGAAAAGAATATATTCTGAATATTTTTACCATTTCGTCTCTAGCATCGATTCGATGCAAGATTCTGAACTTTACTTCCGCGCTGCTGATGCGAATCTATTCTACAGATGCATCGCAATTGCACAGAAATCTTAAAATATTTTTCTGCGTCGCTAACCATCTTTTTACATATCATTTTTGCTATTGCAGAGAAAACTTCCTTGTTAATAATACATTAATGTTGTGCCATATTTTAAGTACCGTGATTGTAGAAAAACATTTAAACGCTTAGCATAGCATACTTTTATGTATGCACATTGTCGCTCGTATCTATATGAACACTATGCTCGATGTATATAAACGATGCATGAATATTATCAAGATATAAATCAATAGCAAACTAATGATCAAAAGCAATATTTACGTTTTTCTTTTAAAATTAACAGATGTATATATATCGTATGAACTATTAATTGTTGATTTTCAATTTTATCTGTGGTACATTAAAATTAAATACACGATTTGTGTCAGCATATTTTAGATATTTATTGCCAAAATTGCTCGGGTTATTTCCATCGTTAATTTGAAGAAACTTTCTCCATTTTATCCGTACGTTGACAAGTAAATGAGCGAAAACTAATGAACGTTATAAATGACACTACTGCATCGTAATGTTTGTCATTTTCAGACACCAATTCTTTTAACGCGTATTAATATTTCAAAGTAAATTTTATCGTGCCATAATATGCCTTTTCTAATAAAATATAAAATCGCCCTGAGTATTTTTGCAACTAAATTACATTTGTTAAAAAGGGCAAGTGTTCATACACGTTTGAGTGTTACATAAAATATTTTAAAGTTTCAAATCTGAAAATGTATATAGAAATAGAAAGAAATTTACTATGGACATACATTTGGTGAACAATTAGTATATCGTATAAGCACTCATCTTAAACATGTATTTAGTGTTAAAAAGAATCTGCTTGAATATTGAAGTTTCTTAGTATAATGACTATTTAAATAATGTTGTGATTTTTACGAATTTTATACTTACGTTAAATACCTCATAGCTTCCATATACATCTTCGGTATCGTTTCATACTTTTCCAATATCATTATGATGATTTCGTTAAAGCACCAGCCAAACTTCAAAGTACTAATACATTTTCTCTACAACATTCAAATACTTGCGTCGATTGTCGACCAGAAGTATCGTAATAAAATAACAGTGCAAGTTGAAAGATAAATTTAGGGTCGGTAGAGAACGTGGAAACGTGACTTTACTGTCAGAACAGGTATTAAAGTCCTCGATCTAATGATGAAAGTTCAGTTTAATGGGATTAAAGATTGCTTGATGTCAGAATTTGGTTACTCTTGAGCGAGTTCATTCAAGTTGCATTACATTCTTTCCTTAGATAATTAAATGATTATTCACGAACAAACTTGCAACTTTACTTTTTCACGGTATAAGCAACTTTATCTCAACGTATTTCCATTAAAAAGTCAGCTTCGTTACACGGAATATGTTGTACTTATCTTCATTTTTCATAGGAAAGTTTGGTATAAATGGCCCAATGGGAATTCAACATGAGCTGAAAATATTTAATGCGATAAATGTGTTCGCAGACTTAATAATTCGAGAAAATTTAACGTAATAAATTCAATTATTAATTCCATTCAGCTGCCGACAAACAATTAAATCGTATTTCGGGATTTTGATACTTTTGCCACATTCATTTCGAATTTATTTCCATGAAATTTCGATAAAATTTGTCAAATTCCTGCGAAAGATAGGAATTACACTTACAATGATATAACGCGCGTGTTCTGAAACATTAGGAAAATTTCTTGCATAGAAGTGACTACAAACAAATATATATATATATCTAGATACTAACTATCAAACGCGTATTGTAATCTCACACAATGTAATATCACAATCTTCAATAACTGCGTAAAACATTTTCCGATACTTTCTACTTACACACACATCATCACACACCACCCGAACTTCCCTCCAGTTTCGAAATGAAGCACACCATCGCCGTTTATATTTAATTATTAAACGCAGATAGCCAAGCAACTGCATACAAATTATTAATATATATATATTGCGCTAGTTGTGCGACGTTCTTGTGTATTATCGTTGCTTAAGATTTCTCTGTCGATACTTTTGTATGTATGAAGTTATGCTTGTGTGCACCGTTTACGTGCATACAAATATGTTCTGAATGTGCAACGTTGAAGAAATTAAACAGTTAGCGAACAACAATACCGTGCAAAACACCGATAAATTATCCCACTTACGAAGACTGATGGCAAAAATATCTCATGAAACCATAAACGCGAAATACTCATCGTTTGCCGACTGTTTTAAATTACGTATATTATCGTTAATTATTAATAGGTTGTAATTACATCGATTAGAATCATACGATTAAAATAAGAAAATATATCGAACTGTGATATAATTTTGTTAACGATAAATACATCGCGTCTGTCGCTTCCTTCTGCGAAAATCATGCGGATTCTTTCGTCTCCCTGCTGTTACGTTTTATTCTTTGTCCCGTTCGTTTCTTTTCACACGTATCTCGTTATTTACGTTATTTCGTTCAACGTCGACAGAGACAGACGGCGATATTTTGCACGGTATTGTGCATCCAAGTTACCGCTTAAATTCGAAGCATTCGCTTGAAATCGCTTAGAGACAAAAAAAAAGCTCGCGCAGAAAGAGATCAAATCGAACGCTGAGAAATGATGGAAATTACACGTAACGTAGTCTCCGGTAATATTTGCCGCGTTACCCGGCCTCGTCGAGCATACGAATAACTCGAGAATCGGAAATGAATAAGTCAGGTGTAAATTGACGCGTACGCGTACGCTGCTGGCGAGACCATTCGTTTCTCCAACAAAATTAGGACACTGCTTAGCGATTAGTTTGATTTTTTCAGTGTCGACTTTGTTTGTTCGTCATGCTGCACAATAGTTGAAAGCGAAGGCATAGTTAAAAGAGGACGTTCTGCTGATAGTTGATTTCTAGATTCTTTCTGGGCCTTCACGATTGAGCGGTCCATTTTCATCCAGACTATTATTAGTGTTTTGCTCCCGTTGCGCTTTTGCGAACACTAAGTGCATCACGAGACATGCACTTTAACTTTCATTTCGGAATTTATTGTTCGTACTTAGCCCGTAACAACGGACTTGCAGCCACGAGAAAACACGTTTTTATACCGAGAGCTTTAACGTACCACCACTTTAACGCCACGAATTTCTCATCGATTCCGACAGCTAACTTTAACAGTTATGTAGCTACTTTTATTCTTCTGTGAGGAATGTACGTTTAGTCGTCGTTTGTGATTTTTATTCCTGTCGGTAAATCTGTTTGTCTCTCATTACGATTATTCGTCAGAGTATAGCGCAATTCGAAAAAATGTTCCTCCTCGGATCAGTAACAAGTTTGATAATCCTTTCAATAAAAAACAAATTGAACAATTTATCTTTCCAATTTCTAACGTAGCATTGCTGCTGTAAGAATTTCTCAAACATTTTTAAATGCGAAGAGGACAAGGCTTTCACCTCAATTTGAGAATTCAACGAATCGTGTTTATCTTTCTGAAATGTTTGTTGCACTAATTACTTCATTATCGCAAGAATAATAAATCACAGCACGAAAACGAAATTCTTGAAAACAATATGCGATAACAGCTACAATTTTTATAATACACCTACCACGTCATAAATAATAAATAGATTAATTCCTAATTTTTTAACAATCTTCAAACATGTCGTATAATTGTTTGACAACGCTGTTAGACAGAAAAAACAAAAAACGAATAAATTAGTAATGTGATGGATACAACTAAAAGCAAGTGTTATCATCGAGGCTGCAGGTTCGTTTATCGAAAGTAAACTACGTGGGCATGAAAATTACTAATCTAATAAAAATATTGACGCGAAAGATGCTAATGCAGAGGATTCTTTTGTTTCGAGTAGGTCGATCTAAGGCACATGGACGAGAAATCGGGAAGCAATGTAGTGGACGTGGGAGTCGATCTCTCCGAATTCTACATGTCGGTAGAATGGGATATTTTAGAAGTACCTGCAGTACGGTGAGCATGTTATATTCATAAATGTTTCCCGCATACTTCTTTACCTGTTTCAGTATTCTCTGTATATGTTTCGAAAGCTGCATATTTGTGTGTACAATTATTTCACGATCCCACTTTCACCCCTTAACCTACGACTACGGGCATAGCCCGTAGTACGATGATCGGGCCCAACGTAAATATCACAGGCATAGCCCGTAGTTGATGATCAGACCAAACGTAAATATCACGGGCATAGGTTAAGGGGTTAATATCTTGTTAACAATCAGTATTTTATTAGAATCTTCTAAGAAGTATTTTAGTTAACGCATACAGTGGTGGATAAACGAAAGATTAACATTAATGCTACGTTAATTGTTTCATTCATTTTATTTAAATTGTAGCATACTCCTCGCATAATCCTCGTGCTTTCTTTTGTCCCCTTGTGAATGTAATTATTTTAAAGAAAGTTTACTTGATCGATGATTAACCAGATTTTTATTTACATTTTATTTACTTTGTAGAAACGTACAGGCAACGACAATTGCAAAATGAAACGTACGTACAAGTATACTCGACGGAAAGTGAAAACAGATTGCAAAATGCGTAATGTGAATATTTTGCCATATATGAAGGAGCAATATCTTTGCAAAAACAGAACTTTATTCGATATTAATTATTAACAAATGTCGGTTAGATAACACTGGCACGGACGAATTAAATATAGCTGAACTCGAGAAAAATTCAGTGCCTGGTACTTTTGCGAGTTACTTTTTCCGAACGATGCGACGTGACATTCATTCGAATAGGTTTTTGTTAGATATTCAAACGACTTGTCACGTAAGTGGAATATCATTGCTATGTTCAGAAAGCCAGAGGAATGGTCAGACGGCCCCAAATTGCCACCGGAATTTCGATCGATCCGTGGGCGAGAGAATGGACATCTTGCATGTCGTTTGACAGAATTGCGCTTTCAAAATCGCCATCTGCTACCAAAGCGTTAATGAAAGACCGGATTTCAATATTAAATTCTTCTCGATTTTTTGGTTCCTTTCTCTGAGAAAACGACGGGAAAACAGTTTTTAGATCCTCGTGTTTCTTTTAAAATTAGATTCCCTTGCTCTTTCACTTCCAAGAAAAGTAATTAAAAAATAGCAACGAGTATTTCTTTGTAATTAACGATGTAACAAGTTAATAATGTTAAAGCATTACGAGAAAATTTTCTCTGATTAAAAATCCAATAAGCAATAAAAGTACAATGAAACTTTTATAAAGAGGTAAAGTGTAAAAGTAAAATATTCGAGACATAGTTCATTATTTGTAATGATAAAGCAAAATTTTAATTACAAGACGTTTTAATTAATTCTGCTAAAACTTGCTGAATTTTTATATTCTCAGACGCCTCTTGAAATAACATTTAAAATACATTTATTTGCTCTTTCGTTGTTAACTCTCCTACTCATAGGCTGTAATATGCGCCAAAATTTTATCCATTTATATTCGTCAATCAGTAAAATACCAATTTACAATGCAAATATAAAAATATAATATAAATTTAACTTGAGCCAAGGATTAATCTTATTTCGTTGTTTACCTGATACGTAACATAATACGATGGGAACATATTCCCTGCAGTAATTTGAATACACTTTGACTGTATCCTTGAATTAAATTAACTAAATTAACCTTTGCATTTCTTTTTGCGCAGAAACGAGAAATTTTACACCTGCTGCGACGAGCCGTATCTGGATATCACGTTTAACATAACAATGCGAAGAAAAACACTTTTCTACACTGTGAACATAATCATTCCGTGTATGGGAATTTCCTTTCTTACGGTACTGACGTTCTACCTACCTAGCGACAGCGGCGAAAAGGTAAGTCAAATTTATGTTAGTAATTTGTCGTAGAGCATCTGATATGTAAAATTAAGTCAGCATAAACACGACAGTACGAAAGCTGGATTGCCATGTTTTTTACGATTCTAATCTAATTTCTACTTTCACGATTCTTGCCACGGGAATCAGAATTTTTCATTTCATTCCTTTCGTATTTTACGCGTTTATGATTTCCTGTATATGTAGGTACTCTATGACACGTTATATTAAAACCTTCATAATTTTAGTACTGTTCCAATTAATTAAACACATATCAACAAACCATTCGCAGACGACGAATATTTTCCTAAAGTATCATAGCTCAAATCAAACACAGTTCAAAGTATTCGTATTTTAATCAGAGTAACAAATATTATTAATCAACTGAATTGGACTTTCGTTCAATTTTCTCTCCCGTTTTTGCTTCTTCTCAAATACTTTGGTCGAGTTCTCATTAGGATTAGGGGCGTGTAACGAATCTTCATTCGGATTAGCCATTGTTGTTATACAACAGAGAAGATATTTACTGCTACAAATATGATTATGACAGAATTTGACGAGTAACCGTGATGATTAGATACTCTAGATGCTAATGACAACGATCTTAGGTTCAATAACGAACCCACGGTCAACGAGATAATAAATGCGCTTTCTTCCAAAGTCTAAGTCGAACTCAACTTACTTGTCCACAGTACAAGTAGAACTCACCTAACTCTTTGTTAAAACGCAGAGTATTCACTGATCGTAAAGACGGTGTGTAACTCGCTGATAAGATCGCACGTGAATGAGACTGATGAAAACTCTCTTCTCCTTACGATCGCGTTCGTTTATATTATATTGGTCGAGGGGGTACCAATAAAATTCCAATCGCCTTTGTTAGACGGTTCCACGTAGCGACGACATTGTTTCTGTCCGGAGTTTGATTATTAATACAATATGTGTGTCCTACGATATTGATATTGATATTCCGAGACAAAACCACGCGTGGCTTGATCTGTCCTCGAACACGTGTGCCGCTACAACTATATTTTTAAGGAGAGCTATACCTCTGTCCATACCTCTGTTAGGTAAAAACGTCCATCCCGTGATCGTGGCTACGTTTAGCGACCAGTTATGTCACTTCGAGTCCAAGCCTACTGTCATAAATCTCGGGCAAACATAATCGAATTAAATCATAAACAACTACTTCTAAGTTTTGTTATTTAAGTACAGCTATAATAAAAAGTCTACGCTAAAGTATTGGGGATCTTCCTAAAAATTCCAAAAGAAAGGTCCCAATGTCCTTTCGGAGACCATAAACTTTCAGATACGTTTAGTATAATACGTTTGGTTAATAGCGACAACTATGTTCATTAATATGTATCAATCATTGTAGAAATGCCAAAATCCCTCAAGATTACGAGAAACGTTTCACTAAATGTTTTTGCTCGTATCTGTAAGAAAGTTTCGAAAGTTTCGAAATGAGAAGCAAAGTTGGCAGCACAGAATTACTAAAGAAACAAATAGAGTTTAATGTAAACTAAGTATAGAATTTAGAGGAGAATTCTCGTTAACGTTGCCGCATAAAATTCGTTAATCTAAAATTTTCTAATATTTGTCATAGAAAAGAGAGATTAAGAGAAATTCAAAAATATAGAGTTGCCTATGTAAACCTGAGAGCAGTTATTCCATGGTCGTCGTTTGCGGAGATCTTCAAGCAAAAAACTGCGAATTTCTGCGAATAAAGCAAAGACAGTGACCAGGAGAATTTGCTTTCAAATATAATGCTCGATATTACACGTTAATAATAATTCAATTGTTCTTATTAAATTAAAAAAGAAATTCTCCTCTGTTCATAAAGAATCATTTAGTAATTGATCTATCAATTGATGCAACAAGGAACCTCCAGCTCGCAACTGATTTAATTGATTTAATATTATTAGCAAAATCTTGCAAGTCAAAAGTCACAAATCGGCGCAATCGTGCTGAATCTAGCAACGAGACAAATGCAATTCTACGATTAAATTTTAGAAATTACCAGTTACCTGATCTACCTGACCTACCCTTATCTCTTATGCCACGTAAGATGGTAAAATTATAAACCAGAAGTCTATACAATCCATAACACATCCACATGTCGATCCACATGTTATACAGGGTGGCTGGTAACTGGTGGTACAGGAAAGGGGGCGTACCGAGCCAAAATTCAAAGTCGATTTTCTCGAAAACAAAGCCTCAAACGAAAAACTTTTATTCTATATCTTCTACTTCATTTTTCGTGTAGAATCACCCCCTTTCCGTTTGTACCGCCAGTTACCAACCACCCTGTATAATGTTCTATTAGTTGACAACTTATAAGAAAGTATTTCTTTCAAACAACTTCTGCAAACATTTAAACCTAAATGTCTCACACCTCAGTAGCACAGGACAGCGGAATGCTTCTTTGAATTCTTTGTCTTTGTTGTTTTGAAGATACAGTAGCGCTGCACTTTCTTTATGAAATTGAGAATTACTATTTGACAAATTCAAAGGTTTCAGCTGGCTAGGCAAAAGCTTTCATCAAAAACGGTCGTTTGTCGTTCGCTTTCCGAATATTTCGATCTCACGAACAATAAGAAAGCTTCCGTCAAAGAGTCGGGTTGTTAATTAAAACTCAGTGCCCGAAAATCCACTAGTCTGTCTTTCAACGAAATAATCCTACACCGGAATGATCCAATCGCGGTCTCTTAGACCACATCAGTCGTTAATTAAAATCGGTTGTGGTCGCGATGCTCCGCAATGCAATTAATTCTTTTATCGGCGATGCAAGTGGTAAACGTCTGTAAATTCTTCTAAAACGGACAATCGTGGATTTTTCGCGAAAAAATATCGCGGGAACAGGCACAGTGGTCTAAATGTAATGGCCGGGGTATCTGAGGCAACAAAGCATTCCGGCGACGAGCCGGCAGAGAGACAGTAATTGCTTGTTTCCTAAGTTTCCGTTTTACGTGTTCTTTACCGGCGAATAAACTAGCGCAACGAATATAAATCCAATGGAGAAACTTTGAATTTATGGCGGTCGTTAATCATTCGAAGCGAAAGTTTCACTAGAGAACTGTGATTCCGTGGAATGCAAGTTTTATTGAACCGAATTCTGTCATGCGGCGGATCCTCCTATGTTTCGAATAAATTCTGCAATGGTTGATTTTACAGTACTTTCATTTCCGGTGCTGTATACTAGCATCAAGTTAGCTTTGGTCACAAATTTATTCCATTTTGATACAACTTTATGCAGTACACGTAGGAAATAACATTTTGTTTGCTTCTTCTCCTCGCGTAATTGATTTACAAAGCACATGGAAATCTGTGATTTGCATAGTCATTTGAATAGTCTGTTGACCACTCATGTTAAAAACAGGCGATAATGTTTAATATAATTGACTGAAAGATTAATATTCAGCAGCCAGATTCGCATAAACGAGAACACATTTTCGTAAATGACCGATTCTTAACGAATATCATCATTCGTTGATTATAATTATCATCGTGTCAACGTTTGATATCCATAGATACATGATTACATGATTTGAAAAAAAATTATTTTTAAATACATTACGTTAACAATGAAAGATTTGAAATTATTTGGTGAACAGGAAACTTGAATTTTTCGATACGAAAATACATCAAAAAGGTTGGATTACATTTTCTAAAACTTGTATAAACAAACTATACAACAATATCTTTCTCTTTTTTCAATTAATCGTTTCCTTTTTGTAAGGTCTGATAGGACTTTATTTATATGAAGAAAATATTTCTAGTGGTTTGCAAAAATCAGTTCAACCGTTCGTAATATATTACTACATGTATTTACAAGCAAAAAATATAATTATAATTATAATTATAAGTATAATTAAATCTTGTCAAAAGTATTCAAGTGTCCGGACAATTTTGATGAGTAAATAAATGTTTTGTCATATTTACATCGGTTTTTAGATTGTTTCGAATATAATCGTGAATATCACGATAGTAGTTCATTTTGGTATTGACAAAATTTAAAATATTTTATTCATAACACACACGTGTTGCAGATATCAAGCGACAAACTTCGTCAATATATTGAGCTGAGATCATTTTGAGGAAAAAATGTTATGTAGAACGTGGGTCAAAATTCGTCTTCGTTTTCGAGATATGAAACAGAAAGTAGTATAAACCACGATTAATCAGACGCATTCAAGCTACTTAACTCTTAATGATAATCGTTTATTCCAAACTACTTTTTACACTGATTACTGGTTCGGTGTAAAAGTTCAGCAAGAAATGTTATGTACACCATGGCTCGTGTGTCTTCGTTTTTAAGATACGAAAGAAAAAGTAGTATAAATCAGAAGTAATCAGACGCATTCAAGCTGGCTAACTTTTAATACCAGTCATTTATTCCGAGCTATTTTTTACAATAATTTTTCACCTGTACAATTTTCTAAAAGACAAGGTAAAAGACAGTTTGAAATAAATAATCATCATTAAAAGTTAACTAGCTCGAACGAGTCTGATTATTTTTGATTTATATTACTTTCCCTTCCGTACCTCGAAAAGGAAGACGAATCAACCCACGGCGTATATAAGATTTATTGATCAAAATGGTCTGCTGCAAAACATGTTGTCAAAGTTTGTCCTTTCACATCTGAAACACCCTATACACATAAAAGTCCTTTGCAATAAATACTCGAATACCTGGACGATCCATTGCATGCGTATTTTAAATACGAACTAGAAACTCCTATCTTTTTCCGACCTGTATTCCACATAAGACAGGGAAACAGGTACATTGATTTGCCCCGAAGCGAAACATCAACAGTTCAAAGCTAGCGCGTAAACATACACGAAAAATATCGAACGAATTGGCAGATGCCAGTCACGCACCGAGCAGACAGAAGGGTTCGACGCGACTGTACGCAGAGAGAAGTAGATCGAGGGCCGCGTGCCGCAGGGTAAAAAGTTCCGGTTGAAAAGGAAAAGACGGATGGGAACCGGGGCAATGCAAT